TCTCAGCTAGGTTGGCTCTTGATGCTAATAACGTGAGATCAGCTATAGGAGATAGAATCTCGGTCATAGTGCAGAACACAGCTTTGATGCTTGTTGCTTGTACTGCTGGTTTTGTTTTACAATGGAGACTCGCATTGGTCTTAGTCGCTGTCTTCCCTGTTGTTGTTGCTGCAACTGTCTTACAGGTTTGTGTTCTTGCAACTCTTATTGTATTAGAGACATAGTCTCATGCGCTCGAGAATTAAAAGAGATATTAATTAGTATATTAGAGATATTAGTTAATCCACTAATCACCAATTAGGTATAATTGTCGTACTTGACTCGTTCGACCGAGTATAAAAGTCTTAAAAGGTTAGGGCCAATCCACTTATCACCAATTGAGATTTTAAGTTAGAAGGCTATATATGGTATCAGAGGCTGATCCGTTATTGACATTTTGTTCCTTGTTAACGTTTGTTTTGTCTTTTGTATAGAAAATGTTCATGACTGGCTTCTCCGGAGACTTGGAAGCAGCGCATGCCAAGGGGACACAACTTGCTGGTGAAGCCATAGCTAATGTCAGAACAGTCGCTGCGTTCAACTCAGAGGCAAAGATTGTTCGTCTATACACTAAAAACCTCGAGGCACCATTGAAACGTTGCTTCTGGAAAGGACAGATCGCTGGAAGTGGCTATGGGTTAGCTCAGTTCTGTCTTTACGCATCTTACGCTCTAGGGCTATGGTACGCGTCGTGGCTTGTGAAACACGGCATCTCAGACTTTTCAAAAACCATAAGAGTCTTCATGGTTCTAATGGTCTCAGCTAATGGTGCAGCAGAGACGCTTACTCTAGCTCCTGATTTCATCAAAGGTGGTCAGGCTATGCGGTCGGTTTTCGAGCTTCTTGACCGAAAAACCGAAATCGGACCGGATCATCCTGATACCACCCCGGTTCCAGACCGGTTACGCGGCGAGGTTGAGCTGAAACATGTTGATTTCTCTTACCCTTCAAGACCTGACATACAAGTTTTCCGTGACCTAACCCTTCGTGCAAGATCCGGCAAGACTCTAGCCCTTGTCGGTCCAAGTGGCTGCGGTAAAAGCTCAGTCATCTCCCTTATACAAAGATTCTACGAACCCTCCTCAGGCCGGGTCATGATAGATGGCAAAGACATAAGAAAGTACAATCTAAAAGCCCTAAGGAAACACATAGCCATAGTCCCACAAGAGCCTTGCCTATTCGGAACAACCATCCACGAAAACATAGCGTACGGACACGAATGTGCCACCGAGGCAGAGATCATACAAGCAGCTACACTAGCCAGCGCACACAAGTTCATATCCGCGTTGCCTGATGGTTACAAGACGTACGTTGGAGAGAGAGGCGTTCAGCTCTCGGGTGGGCAGAAACAGAGGATTGCTATCGCACGTGCCTTGGTGAGGAAGGCAGAGATTATGTTGCTTGATGAGGCTACGAGTGCTCTTGATGCTGAGTCAGAGAGGTCGGTGCAAGAGGCTTTGGACCAGGCTTGTTCTGGTAGAACATCTATTGTTGTGGCTCATAGGTTGTCTACGATCAGGAATGCTCATACCATAGCGGTGATTGATGATGGGAAAGTCGCGGAGCAAGGGTCGCATTCGCAGCTTCTTAAGAACTATTCTGATGGAATCTATGCGAGGATGATACAGTTGCAGAGGTTTACGCATGGTCAGGTCATTGGTATGACGTCAGGGTCGAGTTCTAGGGTTAAGGAAGATGATACTTAGTACTTTGGTCTAATAGAAGAAGACAGAAGAGAGTAAAAAAAGACAGCAAACACCATAACATGTTATGAGCAAAACTCCACCTGCTCTTTTTTTTCTTTTTTTCGTTTTTTTTTTGTGATTTTGAGGTTACTTATTTTTAGAACAACGTTTCAGATTTGATGGTATAGTATTATTATGATTAATCTAATTATTCACCTATGTAATATACATTTATCCTTTGTCAATCCACGAGCCTTTCAAGTGATGTGAAGTGAAGTGAAGATGAAATGGTCTTGCCAATGTATATGCTCTAACGAAAACATATATATATTTTTTTTTTGCTATTATACATAACTTTTTTTAATGAGATCATAACTTATTTCTTAATTACTTTTCAATATATGATTATTAACACCAAAGATTCTTACAAAAAAATATTTTACCGAAAACTTTTTAATATTTACTTATTTCTCATCATCGAGTGTACTCGTATCACTATACAATATGCATATTCTTTCGTTTCTAGATTTTAGGATAAGCCTAACTTTAAAATAGTGAGATCCGCTCTAATTAAAGATAGCAAATGTTATGTTATATGATGATGAAATGTGATCTTGTAAGGTTTTTAATCGTATTGGTTAGATGTGTCTTGAATGTTGTCTTTTTTTGATCGAAAGTGTCTTGAACGTTGTCTAGGACATGTGACTTTTGACTTTTTGACTTTTACTGCATTCAACGACTAAATACTCCAAATTTCAAAACCACAAGCATCGATTTTCAAAATACAAACACAAACTCATATATGACGGTTGTTGTATTGTTAGTAGTTTTTTTTTTTTTTTTGAAACTCAAGTATTGTTAGTAGTTAACTTTATGGTTTTTAAGCAAAAAAAAAAACTATGAAGTAGAAAAGTTCAGATATTAGAGAAGAATGTTACTAATCAAAATTATATCTAATGTTAAAATAATAGGTGTCCATCTCAGTCATTACGTCATTTATACGGTCCCATGAAAAAAATTCAACACAACAGTAAACACATGATATTGACAAAATGGACCGATAAAGGAGTAAATGAACGCAATTACGCAACTCTTGGAGACATTTTGCACTTTCTTACTTTGTACTGTTGATTCAGCTGAAAGAAGAAAACAATCTTTTTAACTGTTGATTCAGTTGAAATTAATATATTAACTAACTTTTCACTCACGGAACTCAATCAATTAATGTGGCAGTTCCACATGTCTCTGCCTCTATCACGCAGCCCATGTTTTTTTCTATTGGATATGCAGTTACTTTGCTGCTTCTTCATTCCATGGAGGTGTGGTACAAATCCAAATGATTTACTATTAATCTAGATCAATAATTTCTCTGTGAAGGACTAGACTAATTTTTGTTTTCCTAAAATATGTAGAAATGAAAACATGAACTATATATGTTATATTAGTGATGTACGAATTGAGTAAAGTATTGTTTACGCATACAAATTTGTTAGGTGAAACGAATCTATATTATTAAAAGAGAAGTACCAAATAGAAATAACCCTTAATTTTATCAATTATTTACAATAGAATGCCATTGAGATATTTATTGAACCTATATTTAAGCATACTTGTCTTTTCCTAATTTAGATAATAGATTTAAGTAATTAATATTTTTGCATAGTTTAAGTAATAGATTTCCTTAGTCAAATCTTAACCAAAATAAATTTTCTAATATGTTCGGTATTAACATATTCAATTTTTTAATATTTATTAGTAAGAAATAATATTTTATTTTTCTTTAAGAAATTATAGAAGTTATAGTTACACATATTTATATATATTTTAAGTATTTAGAATTTTTTTTAAGGGATGATAAGATTTTGGAATTGGAAAAAATTATGGCCCACCTCTATATTATTTTAATTAATAAATTTAAAATTTATATCAGAATATTTTTTTAAAAATTTTTAAATTGAATTATTATAACTGTAAAGATTAATTTTTAATCAAAGTTTATGTTTAAATATTATAAATAAATTATTTAATATAAATAAATACATAATATAAATACCGGCGGGTCAAGGTCTAGTAAAATATTAAAGAGAAGAGCAGAGGTTGATCCATCGGCTTCAGTAATGCTTCGCGTAGAATAAGACAAGACAATGCAATTCGAGGAATCAACAACTTTATCTAGTACCATTTACCATAATATTATAGACCATCTTTCTCTTTTATTTCTTTCTAACTTCTTTCGAAAATAGAATACTCAAAAATGATGTGATCAAAAAGTTTTGTTCAATCAATAAGTCTAGAGATCATAGTTGACAATATCATGGCACATAAATTATTCAACAAATTCGAGTTTTGTTTATAGAATATAAACGTAATTATGGTGAATTAATTGTGGCCTTCATGAAATACTGTTTAAAGGTTTTAGTATATAAAAAGAGTTTGAAAATTGTTAGAAAAAGAAAAAAGAGTTTGAGAATTATCATCTCAAAGATGTCCCAAACATGAAGTTCACATTTATTTTGAAAAGAAAGAGTTGTAGTTCAATTTTACTTCTATTTACTATTGTTTTAAACATGCCAGTTTTTGTACTTCGTGAATGAGTTGATTCTTGATATATACTTTCATACCATAAGTATTCGAATGATAAAGAAAGAAGACGAATACATATTACTCGTATATTATTAACGAGGGATATATTATTTGAAGAGATATGTTCTCTTCGTTTACAGTACATGCTTTCTTGTCTAACCATCTGGTTAATTACGAATCTCTCAATCATTATCTCATCAGCAGTTAATTGCTCCTTTTTAACTTAAAAACTGAATAAGATTCGGCTAATATAGACTAGTCAACAAGTAGTCAAAGTTAGGAAATGACATCCTTTTGTTTTCAAAAGCAATATAGTACATGATGAATTACTTAAATGTTTCTGTAAAAATATGTTTTATTCAGAAACTAGGTGCCTTCGTGTCTCGTACCATCACTTGTGTCAAGCCGGCGTCAAAACGCCCACTGTCGCTGACCTCAGCACCTAACAAATACACCACATTAATATCATATAGATGCGTAACACATGAATCATCATGTAACATCAAACCATAGAATATTCAATAAAATTCTGTATCAAAAATATAATAACAATAACCTCCACACCCAAACCGACTCCTCTCTTCTCTATAAATACACACATTTGCTTATACTTCCTCTCGTTCAAACATTTCTTCAGCCTTGAATTAACAATATTAAAATAAAAAAATTATATATCCTTATCTTCAACCAAGAATGGGAGAGAAACAAGAAGGTGCCAAAGTTGAACAAGAGAAGAAGGCAACCACCGTTGTCTCTACTGAGACGACGGACAACAAGCCAAAGAACGGTGGCGGAGGAGATTCAGCTGCAGCCCCTGCTGCGGCGGCTCCGTCCCCCTTTGTTTACAAAGTGGATATGCACTGCGAAGGCTGCGCCAAGAAGATTAAGCGAATGGTGAAGCACTTGGAAGGAGTCAAAGATGTGGCGGCAGATATGGGTGGGAATAAGCTCACGGTGGTCGGGAAGATAGACCCGGTGAAGCTCCAGGAGAAGTTGGAGGAAAGAATGAAGAGAAAGGTGGTACTCACCAACCCACCACCACCATTACCGCCCAAAGTAGACGCAACTGCCGCCACCGCCGCCGCTGGAGAGAAGAAATCCGACGGTGTAGATATGGCGGCGGCTCCTACTCCTCCTCCTCCAGCTGCTCCCAAAGAGGTATAGACTTAATAAAATAAAGACAAGAGAGAACTCTGCTTATGTTTTTTTTTAACCAACTATGGTTTTGCTAACTTAAAAATGTTTTTTTTTATTTTTTTACAAAATGATTAGGTAGCCAAAAAAAATTGTAACCAGGTTTAATTGTCTTAACAAAGTAGGAGTATGAATAACTGATTTGGCTTTAAATTGTTTCTATTCAGAGCTCGGTGGCTTTAAAGATCAGACTACATTGTGAGGGATGTATTCAGAAAATCAAGAAAATAATATTGAAAATCAAAGGTAAGGAGATTAAATAAACAAACGAAGTAATTTTTTTTCTTACCTTAAGGTTAAAAAGGTAAAAACCCAAAAAATTTTAATTATGCTAATTAGTAAATATTATTAATATGAACCAGGGGTGGAGACTGTGGCTATTGATGCAGCCAAAGACATGGTAACAGTGAAAGGAACAATGGATGTTAAAGAACTTGTGCCTCTCCTCACTAAAAAGCTCAAACGTACCGTCGAGCCTAATCTTCCGGCTAAGAAAGACGACGGAGCCGCGGAGAAAAATAAGTCGGAAGCTGCTCCTCCCGCCGCAAAGAGAGAAGGTCCGGCTGGTAGTGTTACTGAAGCAAAGAATGAAGGAAGTGAAGCCGGAGAGAAGAAGAAAGAGGCCGGAGACGGCGGAGAGAAGAAGAAAGAGGGTGGAGATGGCGGAGAGAAGAAGAAAGAGACCGGAGACGGTGAGAAGAAAGAAGGTGGCGGCGGAGAAGGAGGTGCGCCGGTGTCTACGGTGAATAAAATGGAGTATTATGGATACTCATATCCAACGGTTCCAATGTATTGGCAAGAAGGACACGTGTACGGCCATGGTTATTCGACAGAGGGTCAGAGTTATCCAGGTTCAGGATACAGTTACGGGAGTGAGAGTTACGTGCCTTACTCGCATCCAAACATGAATGCGGCTCCTGGAATGTTTAGTGACGAGAATCCCAATGGTTGCTCCGTCATGTAACCATGGGTAATGAATTGTAAATATACGAAACTTCAAGGGTCTGAACCTAAAATGTGGAGCTTTCACAAATGGTAACTTTAGATAAAACTTACAAATTGAGATGGAACCAGTTCTTTCAAATATTTAGAAAACTAGTTGTTTTACTTACTTTAATTGTAGTGTCTGAAAAAATAAAATAATAAACCAAAATTTCAAGAATGGATTATTGTGGTAGATTTATCATTGTTCTTGACGTTTAATTACGAATCTTTTTGTTTTCTATTAGGAAATCATTTTGGTCGATGACTTATGTAGAAAGATGATTCAAATTCCAATGATTATATTTGTACGAGATCTTGAAAAAAATGAACAACAATGGATGATATTTTGCTGGAAAGCTAACTAAAGCTATTTTCTTGATCAACCACTGTATTATTATCTCCATGGTAATTATTGTTATCCTTTATGTAAGTAGAGTGTTATCTTCATATCATTAGTCTTCCTGGCAATAATTCATTAATGAATTACAGAATTGTATAGTTCTGAACAAGCCTGTATATACATATAAGTATGATAACATTTTCTTTACAAAAATACAAGTATGATAAAATCAGTTGTCGTATTTAGCAAACCGGATTGAAATCTAGATAATAGTAGATATTTCTAGTATATATCTGCATCACTTTTATCATCTTATCATCTATATGCTCGAGTTATAAACTGAAATTGATCTCTCTTTTGACCTTTGGTAAAAAATGATGCCTCTTTTGAGGAAGAAATATGAATAAATTGTACATGTGAAAAAAATAAAAATAATGGTATGCATCTAGATTTTCTTATTGTAAGACAACTATTTATCTATAGTTGAAAAGATAATTGAAGTGATGTAATTCGAATATTCTGACTTGAGAAATCCATTAGTAGATATCGTGAAAGCACCTTTTCTGGTGAGACTGAGACCGAATCATTTTATTATTTGAATCACATTGTTGAAAATATATATAGTACTTAGCACATAATTAAGTATGAATTGACTGAGTTCACGGAAAAGAGCAAATAGTGGAGAAACGCATCTCATCCACATTTTATAGGGGTCTGTTTAGATATGATTTTCATCATCATGTTCTCGTATTCATAGTTGGTCGCGTGTTCAGTTCAAGTAATTTTTAGACTGTAAGCAATCCTCAAGAGTTTCCATCTCCTTATGTAAGAATTTACATGTTCTTGAGCTAGCTAGACGTACTCTATATATAAACCAACTGAATACGTAGAGCAGGACAACACACACGAATCACGAGATACCAACTTCAATCCTTGTTTCGCACATGTATACATGATGTATCAAATCCTCTTTAGTTAAATAACATATAAGACGTTTATTAGCTTTAAACCGGAGCGTACATGAGTTAACCAGAAATAAAAACCAGAGAGTACTACATGACCATCTTTGATTCTTCTTGCACTGTCATTGTATCTTCATATAAAGACGTATGTATGCGAATGCGGTAATGAATTTGTTTAGTTGCTCACTTACGCAAGTGTTTTAACATCTAGCATTTGTTTCCATTCTCGACGTGTATATGTGCATTATTGTTATGTATAGTCGTATAGACATTATTTATATAATAAGTACATGATTTAGCATGATTAGTGGTGACTTAATCTTGACAAGGAAAACAAATAGTGACTTAATCTTTACGTATATTTCTTCTAGAGTGCTGCAGAAAGACAAACCGATTAAACAAAGTCATGTTGATAATGATTCCGTCGCTTTCTGTTTCGTCTCTCTAATCTTCTCTTCTTTGTATTGTACCTATGTAATTTGTCTACACACATATCAAATTCTGTAAGAGTATTTTATGTGAACGATATTTTATTCTCTCAGAAGTCAGAACCATGCAAGAAACCAATCATTGGGTGCTGTGAATAAATCAAACAGACACACCCTATTTTGAGGTTTATTTATGAAAATATATCCTCTCTTTTTTTTTTTGGCAACCAATACATATCCTCTATACCCCATAATCCACTTATTACAAACTTTTATCTTCGGAAACATATCGAATTTTTAATATGTACATAAATACTTTAATCACAAAGATATAATACGTACATATCCTCTCTTTTTTTTTTGGCAACCAATACATATCCTCTATACCCCATAATCCACTTATTAGAAACTTTTATCTTCGGAAACATATCGAATTTTTAATATGTACATAAATACTTTAATCACAAAGATATAATACGTTGCGGATAGCGTGGAACTCTCCTCCAAGGCAAATAATTGCATGTGTACATGTACGTGTTGCCAAATTGATCACTTCTTGTCTGCAATAGAGAGAATTTATTAAATGCTCCCGTCAACCTTTTTTCATATGACCCAAATATTTGGTCTGACGTAACGATGTAAGTTAGTGGAGATATAATAAGAAAATAACAATACAAATAAAGAAAAGAAGTTTTATCATTTGGGGATTCAGAAAATGAACAAGCCAAATGTCTTCTATCTCTTATCGGTTTGTTTTCACTTACGAGGAGGATATTAAGATTTAAAATCCTTTTTATAACCTAGTATATCGTGTCAATTCTCTAGTCTATCATGCATGGTTTGATACCATTATTATTCTTTTTTGATACCATTATTATTCTTTTTGATGAAAGTTGATACCATTATTTATCATATACGGTCATAAAATTGTAAAGAAAACGTCATAAATTGTATAGGGATTACTCATTTTTATTGTTTTACTGATTTATATAGCTACCAAGGAAAATATACACTTTATATACGTAAATTATGTTCTATGATCTATCATGCATGGTTTGATAACATGTATTTACTTACTCATAAGATCATAATTTTTGCTTAACTAACTGAATTTACTAGAACACATATCACCCATCATTTTTCATGACTATGCCACAGGCTCAAAAATACTATAGTCAAATAAATAATAAAACCTCAATTAGACCACGCAAGAATTGCTTTCCCATAACAAACTGAGTAGTAGTACAAAGGAAAACGTCAAAACCAATCCAAAGTTTTACGACAAGTCTACAAAAGGCTGGCCATTGGTGGCCAATCATTCAGATATCTTCGTCCTCTTGGATTATAAAACGTTTTCCTTGGTTATTTGGATTATAAGACTTTGTTTTTAGCCTCATTTTTTCAAAAAAAAATTTCTTTACCTAGAAATGTATTTGGAATTTTCTGAGTCTAATTGATATTAGAGAAACGGTATTATATATACACAATGATACTTACATATATATCAATTTAAAGTAGTGTCATGCATTTGAATGATCAAGTAGTTTAGTTAATCAAAATGGGAATCCACCTAAGATAATATGTCATTGCTCACTACGAATATAAATCGACAAGATTAAATTAATAACTAATGGTGATAATATGAATTAGGTAATAGGTTGCATTGCAAAATCCAATCAAAGGCCACCCATGTCTCCTTCATGGAAGTGGATCTGGCAGCAGAAAATACAAGAAACTCAGCAATTAAATAAATGCAAAATTTTAGTGGATATCTATTTTGTGGTTGCAAACTAGTGGGATATCTATCTCTCTCTCTCTCTTTTATTGTGGTTGCATCACGATATAGCCACGTCCACGCGGTACCACGAGTCTATAATTCTCACTTGCAAAAAAGGGAAGGCATGCAAATGAAACAATATTACATAAAAATAAGTGGAATAAGTGTCGTTAGTATAGAAAAGTTAGAACATAACGAAACTAACATGAAATAGTGAAAACATATAGTAATTCTAAATTCATATGCTTTTAAGTTATTACAATGGTTCAAATTATGACGGAAGACATTTTTTTTTTTTTGTTATTTAGTAAAATTATTTGAAATAGCTACAATCCAGAGGCTGTTATATATACAAAATCATATACATGGTTTGCCAAAAATGGTTGCTGATAAAAGGTAAAATGAATAACGCTCGTCAGTTATACAAATATCACAGAAGATAAATTCGTATAGCTATGGTGTATCATATTTTTGGTTATCCAATTATTCATGTTTTTACAGTAAGCTACAATAATACGACATTATGTACGTACGGTAATACGTATGATATGATATGTTCTTTAGCAATCAATGTTAAATGGTGACCGCGCCAAAGATTGGTTTATGTCCCGAATTTGAAAAGGGTTTGGATTTGGAATCTCTCGGTTTTGACTTATACGTCTCCGTGAGAGATAATGCATGTTCATCAATCATCGTTGTTAGGACAAGGCCGGTACTCAAATTTTGGAGGCTCCATACAAAACTACCAAAAAATAAATAAATATCATAATATATATTAAATAATCAAATAATAATTGATTTAAATTATAGTATTTATATATTTTCTAAGAAAACAACGAATTGAAAACACTATTTAATATGTTTGTTTTTCTTATATAAAGTTTTTTATTCTAATGTATTAGTACTTTGAATAATTTTTTTTAAAAAAATTAAACAAATGTAAAAAAAAAATTTGAGGTTTTCTTAAATTATGACTCCAAAAATTTGTGGGTTTCATACAAATGTTTCATATGTTTGCCCTCAGGTCCAACACTGGGGGCAGGCGAATGACACATGCACATGGCCACTAGGGAGAGAGGGGGTGCAAGCGATTGGATGGTATACTAACAAAAACTGGAGTAAACATTTTTTTTTTAACTCTGAGTTCCATCTAAAACATCCAATTAGGATAAAAATGGTAAAATAAAATTTTCTTTCAGTAACGCTAGAAAACAAGATATTAAGTTTAGGATTTTTAGTAATTTAAACCCTCAACTAAAGATTAATCGTAAAACAAACCCTCAACTAAAAATCTTGTGAAATAAACTCTCATCTTTATGTCCGTTAATGTTTTCGCCCCTCCGTAACTTTTTTCGTCAACTATTGACGGAGAAACGTTAAATGTTGACGAAAAGATTACGGAGGGGTGAAAACATTAATGGACATAAAGATGAGGGTTTATTTCACAAGATTTTTAGTTGAGGATTTATTTCA